GCGTAGTTAGCATCTCCATGAGCGTATTTGTCATGGAATTGGAAAGTGTTGTAAGTTGGTTTATAAGTGTTATTCATCTATCAAATGCTAATGTTTTAGTTATTGCTCATAATTGGTTTAGTATATCTCTACTGGGCTTTGACTCACCCTTCATGGGACATCATTTTCAGGTACGATGGTATGCCACCTCCAAGGACGTAGCTTGGGAGGCTTAGAGGCTGAATTCCTATTTTGTTGCTTTCTTTTTGTATTACATGTAAATCAAGCCAATGGCTTATTTTGTGTTTTGAGTTAGTACTCTCGTTTTGTAACCAAGTGTTGGCTTGGAAAGTTGTAAATCCGTAGGGCATTTCATGGGATAGTTAGCATGTTTTCCTTACAAAAGAGATGAAACTTTCCATGGTGGAACCCCCTTTTTATAAATTTTCTTGTTTTGGCATTCCACCTTAAAACCTGTTTTTTTTCAGTCAACTTTCAAAAATTCCAGAAAAATGTACAAAAATATTCTGAACCTAGTTTTTTATGTCAAAACCGTCCTTTAGACGTTAGCTTTCAACTAAAATTGGTTTCATCGAAAAACATTAAGTGGTTTGCAATAAAATCAAGTTTTCATAACGATCGACGGATCTGGACAGATTCTGGACAGCACTGGACTATTTTTTAAATAATTTAAAATCTGGAAAAGTAATCCCATTTCCGAAAAATGTTCTAGGAACTAGATCAAATTCTCTACGAACCATAGGAAAACCGAGTCCGGCGGATGAACCTAAGTAGTCCTTCCATATTAACCTTCATGTGATGTTAAATCTGGAAATTTTTATGCATGGATGTTTTGTGCCCTTGTATTCATAAAAATGTTTATTAGCTTATGATCATATCTTGGCATGATATTGTATGTGTTATGTTATGTTCTCTGTCTTCTTCACCTTATGGATGTATGCTTGTGTGGACATTTTTATTTGGTTAAGTTGTCTAACCTTGATGTAAAATATCTAACTCAACGGGAAACCAAATTGGGAGGGTATTGGGTTTTCGAACATTTGAGTAATGAAAAGATGAGAATATGTGGTATATGGTATGTTGGGATGCGTTCCCTACTTAAAGGTTAAAGTCTTGCGCAAGTGGTTTTCGGAACCCTTGAACGGAGCGGTTGTATTCGGACCCTAGGTGGTTTGGTGTAAGGAGGGATTCGGGCAAGGCCCTATTTTACCGTCTCTTTTGAGGCCCTGCGGTTGGCGCTACACGGTATATAACCGTTGGTAGGCATCCGAGGTTAGGTCTGCAACAAAGCAGCAAAAGAGGGGGCATACCGAATAATCCGCGTCCGATTCTTGTGGTTGGGAGGACGAAATCTCTTTGGGGGATTTCTAGTTTACTGACATCTAACTTAACTATTTATTGATTTATTGATTTATTTACTGGAATATCATGCTTTACTACTTGATGTTATATTTTGTGATTATGTATTGGACTGGGAAAAAGGGGTAGGGTGTGTGTGTGTGTTTACTGGGCATTCAAAGCTCACGGCGTATCATGCCAGGTGACGAAGCGGAACTCACAGCGGAAAACGACGAGCAGGAAACTTTTGAAGACTTTTGGTTATCCTAGAAAAATTAGAAGTTCTTTTTGGATGTTTTGTAAAGACTCATATGAGGATTTAAGTTTTCTTTTGGGGATGTAATGTACTGGAACCATCTTTTGAATTATATACATATTGTTGTTGTTATGTACTTCCATTCTATTATCTATGTGTACACACCTTATCGTTGCTTATGAGGCCTTGTGTCAATACCGGTTAAGATCTGTCAAAAAGGTAGTGCGCTGCCTAAGAAAGCTGGACGTAGAAGGGAGGCTCATTTGACTCCTCCGGCGATCTGGGATCTTACTGGTTATTGACCATAGGACTCGTTAGTAACTCTCCCTTAACTGCAACCAATAGTGTAGAATCGGGGCGTCACAGGCACTACCTTTATGGTGAGAGGTTCGAGGTGTTCTTAGACCATAAGAGTCTGAAATATCTGTTTACACAGAAATACTTGAACTTGAGGCAGATGAGGTGGATGGAGTTTATTGAGGATTATGACTTTGAGTTGCATTATCATCCGGGGAAGGCCAATGTTGTGGCCGATGCTCTTAGTAGGGAATCCATTAGTGATGTAGCTTGTATAGCCATCCGGAAGTGGGAAATGTTGGGTGCACTTAGCGAGTTTGATTTGTTTCTGGGCGAATCTGTTGAGTCTGTGGCCTTGTTTTCAGTAGTTGCGCAGCCTACACTTGTGAATCGAGTGTTAGAGGCACAGAGGAGTGACCATGAGGTAGAGTCCCTCCGGGAGAAGATCTCCAGTGGGAAGGTTGACAAAAGTTTGACTGTGTATCCCGACCAGAGTGTGAGGTACCGAGACCGTTTGTTTGTGCCGGAGTCTTGCCGAGAGGAGGTACTCTGAGATTTTCACCATTCACGCCTTGCGGTGCATCCAGGAGGCACTAAGATGTATCGTGATTTGGGTCACCAGTTTTGGTGGCAGTGTATGAAGAAGGATGTGGCAGTTTTCGTATCTAAGTGCCTTACTTGTCAGCAAGTGAAGGCCGAACATCAGAGGCCAGCGGGTTTGTTACAACCCTTGCCTATAGTCGAGTGGAAGTGGGAGCATGTCACGATGGACTTCGTTGTAGGTCTTCCGAGGACTCAACGGGGTAGTGATGCTATTTGGGTGGTTGTAGACCGGTTAACTAAGTCAGCGCACTTTATTCCTATGCACGTGAGAGATTCGGTAGATCATCTTATGTCTATGCATGTCAAGAATGTGGGTTTATATGTACTATTTTGAGGGCGTTACAATTCAAACCATGGAAAATTGGGCCAAAAGAAAATAAGCAAACAGAAGTACAATTTGATTACAGGATCATTATATGATTACTGAGTCACAAAGATGATTGAATATATCAAGAGATGATTATAGTAGCCAATCAAATGAATTTGACTATTACAAACATGAACCAGCCTTGGTTAACAAGAAGTCGAGGATTTCCTGACTCTATTACGGGAATCCAAGACTCAAATTTCTAGAATTTGTAGCGCAAAAAAGGATAAGAAGGAGATCTGAATAAAAAGGATGGAAGATTCAATTTCTTGAAGCAGTTGAGAAATATAATGGAATGAAATCATAATGACAAATCCAAGAGAAGAGGGAGAGAGACCGAGGCAACAAGAAGTGAAGAATTACAATATCTCTGTATTTTTCAATCACTCCCCTTTGATTTGTGCATACAAATACTCCGAGGGGCAGATCAAGGTTAGGTATGGTCTGAGCCGGGTTGGGGTCGGTTAGGGTTCGAAGCAGACTCGCATGTCAATCCAATCCCAAACCTGCATTATGCATACACAAGCTATTTATAAAGCTATATATATATAATATTCACACACATAGAAGTAACTCCATATTCGATGAAAGTGTGAATAATCACAAGCAATGAAGCAAGAAGTCGAGGTTCCAATCAAACAATGAAATAATTATATATGTCATGTATGGAAAAGAGGTCACCAGCATAAAGCTTTCCGCATTCTGACAAAGACATAAAATAGAGAAAAGAGCACAAAAAATAATGATGAATAAAAAAAATAATAAAGGAGGGAGTGGGGAACAGGGCGAATCGAGAGCACCAATTAAGCTTTATAATAATGAAAATAAAAGTTGGGCGGTGGATCGGTGTGATTAAAAAAGAAAAGGAAGGAGGATGAGAATAAAAAATAGATATATATATATATATATATATAGATGTAGGAAAAGGAAAATAAAAAAGGAAAGAAAAAGAAAAATAATGTGTCAAAGTGAGTGGAGACAGATTGCTTAGGATATTGTCCAGGAAAGTGATAGGAGATTGGGAGGAGAGAGGGTGGGAACAAGCCCGAGAACAGCCCCACTATTGCAGAACCACTTCATATTCTATTCCTCAGCCTTGTCAACTGCTGGAACTTCTGTTGATATTAACCATCGAAGATGTTTGGGAGAGCACCTAAGAAGAGCGACAACACAAAGTACTATGAAATTCTTGGGGTTTCGAAGAACGCTTCACAGGATGATCTGAAGAAGGCCTATCGTAAAGCCGCCATCAAAAACCACCCTGATAAGGGTGGTGATCCTGAAAAGTTTAAAGAGCTGGCGCAAGCTTATGAGGTTTTGAGTGACCCAGAGAAGCGTGAAATTTATGACCAGTATGGTGAGGATGCTCTCAAGGAAGGAATGGGTGGTGGAGGAGGTGGTCTCGTAGCCAGCATGGCACGTGTCGCAGTAAACCTTACCCTCCAGGATGAGCGGGTTCGCCGCATGCCGAGCGGCACTAACGAGCGTCGGGAGCACACAGAGCGCCAGCAGCAACACCATTCTTGCCATTGTTAGAGAGGGAAGATGGTGAGACACATGTGGGATGTGTATACGCACAGTAGTAGCATTCGATTGCCTCGGTTTTGGCTCGAGGCTTTTCAGCTTCAGCTCCACCGCCATCACTGTCCAATCGCCTCCACTTCAATCAAAAATCAATGAAAACCAGAAAAAGAAGAAGAGTTAAGGTAGGTGTAAAAAACTCCAGCGGACTAGGTTGAGGTCCGGCGGGCGGCTGGATTTATAATTTTAGAAAGAGTACTATTTTTTTAAGAATTATTATTTTATTTTGTTTATATCAAAATTGTAAGTGTTCTCTATTTATTTTTTTAATAAGTTTGCGATGTATAATCATTTTTAATAATATTTTTTTAATTTGCATACACATCTTGTGTGCCTGACTGCTAGTTATTATATATGTTAGCAATGATTTGATATTTAAGAGTATAATGGTTTCTCTTTCTGTTATGTGACATATTTTTTTATCTTAAATTAAAAAAATATTATTCAAATGCATGAGCAAAATTTTAAACTCAAGATTTTAAATTTTATTCTCAAGATTTTAAATTTTATTATTATACTTACTTATCTAAATGGTATACGTATCAAATGTGTCACCTACTAATATATGTATATATATATACTAGTGGGTGGCACACACGATGTGTGTGCAATTTAAATAAGTAGGAATAAAAAAAAATAATAATGAAATTAATATTATAATGTGTACTTACCTTAAGTGATACGAGTCCTCGTACTTAAACCTATGGTCATGGGTTCAAGCCTTGTCCATCTCTTTGTTTAACTTTTTTTTAAAAAAATAAAAAACACTGCCACATGGCATGAGGAGAGTAAAGAAGCTTCAAGACACCATATTATGTGTTCACTTTATAATAGTATAGATAGATATATATATATTTTTAAAAAATAAAATAAAATATTTCAAACAAAAAAATAAAAAAATATTTAAAATAAAAATTATATATTTAAAAAAAATTTAATTGTAAATATTTAAAATATTTAAAAAAAAAATACAACACACAAATGTAGTAATACAACACACATTAAAAAAACAAATAAATATTTACAATAAAAAATAGTTATCATAAAAAAGTTTAATTAAGAAATTTTTTAAATATTTTAAAAAATGAACCTAATAAATTTCAAAATACAATTCAAAACTCTAAAACTCAAAACTCAAAATACAACTCAAAAATTTTTTTTAAACTTTTTTCAAAACTCATAACCAAACAAATTTTTTTTTTCATCATTCTAAAAGTTCAAAATTCAAAATATAGCTCAAAACTCAAATTATGATTCAAAAACTAAATCAAATTATTCAAAAACTAAATCAAACAGAGTTTTGGTTTTTAAATTTTTTTTGACGTTTTAGAACCAGGTTCATTCTATAGATAAATACTAAAATGTAATTGCAAAGCAAAGCAAAAATTAAAATTGAAAAAATTAAAATTAAAATAAAAATTGATGATATATTTGTGTGCAAGAAAAAATTGATATGGTCTAATTCCCAAACATGTAATAAACTTCTGAACAACGTAATATATTCTATTGGAAAATAACAAATAAAAATGATGATGTGTATTGTGTTGTGTAATGCGTCCATGGTTGAGATCATGAGATGATGTGATACATTTTTTTATTTATTAAGTTCCATTTAATAAGTGGGAGAGAATTTTATTATAAAAAAATAATTTAGAGCACTAAAAGGTAAAAGATGAGCCTAAAAGATTATTTTAGTTTGTGCCTTCTTTTTCTTTTTCTTTTTTTTTTATTTTTTTTTTTTATTTTTTTTTTTTTTGTGAGGTGCACGCCAGCTCAGTATGCTATATCATATCTGTTTCATATATAATGGGATTTGCCATATTATGAACCGAGATACGTGGTATCACCCTCAACTCATAATTGGACATCTTACTAAATAAAAATGAGACAAAAGTTTGATGTAATAATCACTTAGCAGTTTACCAAGCAAAAAGTAAAACTCCCCTCCACATCCTATTTTAATTACATGTCAATTTAATAGAAGTAAAATTGATTATTTAGGTCATATTATTACATTGACGGCACCTGTTATATAAAAATTTATCTTAAACAATGAAAGAGAAGGGTGTTTGCCAGATGATAAAAATATATGTTATTTTTAACATATATCTTATTTCGTCATAATCATCTCATCTAGCTCATTCAAACACCTTCATACCACAATCACTTCAGCCTATTTATATTTTATTAATAGCAATATCTATTTACACTTACTATAAAGAGAAAATTAACTTATTGATACTATGCACTGAATATAAGAGTGTTGATTGAGCTATTATATAATGCTGAATCTTACATTCATGTGAGGATAATTTTATAAAAAATTAATAAAATCTATTGAACTATCTAGCATACTCCACTAACATCCAACTAGTGACAATTGGGAAAGAATCTCACCCAAATCATTTTTATAACTTATACTCCAAACAAAATGGCGACCCAATGATAAATTATTTTTTTAATCACTAATTTTTAGGAGAAAAGGAACGCATCATTTAAAAGAAAATCTTATTTAATTTTAGATTATTTGAAAAAACTATAACATGATTGTGAAATAGTATATAGATAAACTCATATATAACAAATAATTAAGCTTTTCAAACTATGATATTTATCTTACTATCCACTTACTCGTTGTAAACAATTGCCTATTTTTTTCCAAAGTATATTTGATAGTATGAACTATTGTGTATTAACTACTACTGAGGCTAGATCACTTTAATTATTTAAACTCTAAAAATAATCTAAAAGTCCCTCAAAATTATAACTGAAATCTAGTATTAATATTCTCTCTTAGAGCAATATATTAATCTGTAAATATTCTCTCAAATAATACCGTAGTTATATAATTAAATTTTAGCTTAAAGATAAACTCTTTTTTTAGAAGGAAAAAGATTAAACTGCTCCTGCTCACAGGCCAATTGTATACCCAAAAACTTGTGACGATACGATGCATTCCTGTAGAGTTACAGCACTCTAAATAGCACCATTAGCAAGCAACGTGAGAGCCCAAAACACCCTTATGCTGGCCCACCAATAAAGACCCCCTCAGAGTAGAGGTTATCCCAACCCACTACATATCCTGCCCACACTACCTGCT